ACTCATCTTCAGCTTCCCTATAATGATCCCTTCTCTCTCTCTGAACTTCGTTCTGCCCTGGCCCTCTGCGGTTCTACGGCGGCGGGCTCCGATGGTATTCATTATGAGATGCTTCGCCATCTCCCTCCGAGCACGTCTCAGTATTTACTGAGTCTGTATAATCGGATCTGGGAGTCGTCGTCAGTCCCTGAGGACTGGCTCGATGCCGTTGTCCTCCCTGTTCGCAAACCAGGGTCTCTGGGTACTTCCCCTAAGGACTTTCGCCCTATTGCTCTCACAAGTTGTGTCTGCAAACTCTTTGAACGTATGGTTAACGTTCGTCTGATGTGGTTCCTGGAACACCATCACCTCCTCTCCCCTTCTCAATTTGGTTTCCGCAAGTGCCGCAGCACGACAGATGTCCTGGTGAACTTGGAGGTCTATATTCGTACTGCTTTTGCTGCGAAGACCTCCGTTGTTGCCGTCCTTTTTGACCTAGAAAAGGCTTACAACACCACTTGGCGTTATCATATCCTATCTCAACTTCATTCTTTTGGCCTTCGTGGTCATCTCCCTCTCTTTCTCCGCAGCTTCCTCTCTCGTCGTTCCTTTCGGGTGCGCCTTGGTACCGCTCTCTCTCCCTCTTTTCAGCAATACGAAGGTGTGCCCCAAGGTAGTGTTCTGAGCACTACTCTTTTTCCGGTTGCCCTCAATGGTCTTCTTTCCTCTCTTCCTTCTGGTGTCTTCTCCGCTCTCTATGTCGATGATCTTACCCTTTGTTGTCAGGGTGATGATTCGCCTCTCCTTCAACGCCGGCTTCAGCTTGCAATTGATGCCGTGTCGTCTTGGGCCACAGGTCATGGCTTCAAGTTCTCTACTTCTAAGACTTGTGCCATGACTTTTACGCGGAAACGGGTTGTTCTTCGTCCCTCTTTGTCACTTTATGGTCATCCCCTTGAATACAAAGATTCCACGAAGCTTTTGGGGTTATTCCTTGACACTCATTTGTCTTGGTCTCCCCATATCTCTTACCTCCGTGTTGAGTGCTCTAAGGCCCTTACCCTCCTTCGGGTCTTGTCCCATACTTCTTGGGGGGCAGATAGGCGCACTCTCCTTGCTTTACATTCCTCTCTCGTCCTGTCTAAGCTCGATTATGGTTGCCCTGCTTACTCGTCTGCTTCTCCTTCTCCTACTCTTCGCCGTCTTGATGCTTTGCACCATACTGGGTTGCGCCTCAGTTCTGGTGCCTTTCGTTCGACTCCCATCCTTATCTTGTATGTTGACACTGGCTTCCTGTCTCTCCAGGACCGCCGTGATCGCTACTGTCTTCGCTATCTTGCGCGGTCCTTGCAACATCCTTCCTCTCGCCTCTGTCGTGCTTTAACTTTTACCCCTCCTGCGGTTCCTGTTCCTCTTCACCACCTCCCTCTTTCTGTCCGGTTATCTCGCCTACAGGATTCTCTCTCCGTTCGTATTTCTGATGTTTCTCCTCGTGTTGTTCCTTCTTTGCTCCCGTGGAGGGTCCCTCTTCCGCGGTTTTGTACTTCCTTGACCCGTATCACTAAAGCTTTTACCCCTCCTACGGTTCTAAAACGCCTTTTCCTCGAGCACTTTTCTTCTCACTCCCACTCCGTTTCTGTCTTCACCGATGGGTCTAAGTCAGCGGACGGTGTTGGCTACTCTGTTGTTTTTCCTGATCGCACTTATATGTGTCGCTTGCCTCCGGAGACTAGCATCTTTACAGCGGAACTTTATGCTATTCTCTATGCTCTTCGTCTCCTGCTTTCTCGTTGTCAGTCTTCCTTTGTGGTTGTTGTTGACTCTCGTAGTGCCCTCATGGCTCTCGGGTCCTTTAATCCGGTTCATCCAGTAGTTGTCGAGATCCAGCATTGGCTGTTTCTCGTTCACAGTAAATTTAAGTCGGTTGAGTTTTGTTGGGTTCCCAGCCATATTGGTGTGTCTTTAAATGAGCGTGCGGATGCTGCCGCTAAGGAAGCTGTCCACTCGTCCCATCTCTCGTAAAGGCATTCCGTATTCCGACTTTTACCCGGTTATCCATTCCTCAGTCCTTACCCGTTGGCAGGCTTCTTGGTTGTCTGTTACTGGTAACAAGCTACGTACTCTTAAATGTTGTGTTTCCTCGTGGCCGTCCTCCTTCCACCGTAACCGGCGGTGGGAAACAGCTCTGGCGAGGTTGCGTATTGGCCATACTCGCGTAACCCATGGTCACTTGATGGAGCGCCGCCCTGCTCCTTATTGTCCTAGTTGCATTGTCCCTCTTATTGTCGTGCATGTCCTTCTTGAATGTCCTTCTTGAATGTCCTGACTTCCAGGACGAGCGTGTCTTGCTTTCCGACCGCCCCTCGCGGTCACCTGTCCCTCGATAGAATTCTTGGTGACTCGGATACTTTTGATATCGTTCGCCTTACGCGTTTTTGTTCTCGTATTGGCATCCTTGGTGATATTTAGCGCCCTCTGATTATTTTGCGTATTTGATGGTGCTATATAGCTTTCCCGGTTTGGTGCCTTCTTTTGATAATTACTTACTTACCTTCCATTTATATTTCTTTCTCATTCCTTCCTTCCTTCCTTCCTTCCTTTTTCTTTCCTTTGTTTTCTCTTACGATCCCTTGCTTATTCCTATTTCTATCCCCCTTCTTATTACTACAGTATTATATTGCCCATCTTATTCCTATTACAATCCTCCCTCTTATTGGGGGGTTATAAATAGGAGCTGCCTCGTATGGGCCAATAGGCCTTCTGCAGTTACCTTTGTTCTTATGTTTTTGAGGCAAAAACATAAGAACAATGAGCCAACAGAGCACAATGAGCCAAAGAGCACAATGAGCCAACAGAGTGGCTCATTGTGCAGAGCCACTCTGCCACTGTGGCTCTGCACAATGGCAGAGTGCAGAGCCACAGCACTCTGCCATTGTTTGGTCCATCTAAACATGTTGAAATAACTTCTCATGTTCCTTTACAAAATAAACTTTACATAAGGGGCAGATCTCATTTTTAAACTTAACAAATACAGTACTGAACAATTTAGAGGATGTTGATCTGGACATTTTCTTCAGAAGGTTTGATGTAACAATAAGGAGCAATGGTTTCAAGCTCAGCAAGCCTTAATGTGAGAACAGTTGGTGCTTATTCACCCACTGGGTTATTAACCCATGGGACTGCCTACCCACCAAAGCTGTACCTGCCAAATTTGTGTTGAGTTTTAAAATATACCTGGAAAAGACTTCCTGTCCTCGTCGAGGCCACTTCGGTTAGTGGCCCCTCAGGTAAACTTGTGGAAAGTTATTTATTTACAGGATTTAATAACCAGGATGCTGATAACAGCAGCATTGTGGTGAGAAGGTTTGTCAGGTACCAAGGGTTCTCATAGCCAGGGGGTGGTCATGGGGAACAAGCTCCCATGACCTATAAAAACTCCCTTATGGTGTACATCTCAAAATAGCCTCTGACAACCAAGACCAACTCCTTGCCTGCATGGGTACCTTAGTCTCTAAATCCGGCGGAACTGCTTTTACTGACAGGAAAAGGGACGAGGGTATGCCTCTGGCTCCTTAACCCTTTAGCTGCGCAAAACGTCATATAAAGTCGGACATAGAGCTCAGTTTTTAAAATTTGCTGAAACACTTTCAAATGTTTTGTGCATAATCTACTAGGTAAATGCTCCAACTTTGTCTGAATGATACCAACATAACATGGAAAACAAGAAAATAAAAAAAATAATTTTAAAATTGAATATTGAAAACTTCAGGTTTTGAAATCAGCTGCAAAAATATAAAATATCATCAATTGTTCATATGGTGTTATTATGCTCTCAGAATAGCATATGATCTTCATTTTAATATATATAGAATATAGGTTTTCAGTATAGTTTACTTTAAAAAAAAATTGTCAATATGGCATTTGAAATACAGTATGGTCAAATTTAGACAACAAAAATTTATAACTCCAAATGTTTAGGTTTTCTGAAAAATCAATTCTATAAGGATTGTAGAACAGACAGATGTGCACACTATATGTAAAAATGGTGAAAATCGGTCAGAAACTAGATTTTTGGATACTGAAGTAAGTTGAAATTCTAGTTATTGATATAATTGTAGTTGAAGTTATTGATAATAAATAAGTCATTTCTAATTCAGGAATTTACTTGTATGTTTTAATAAATATTTTTTGGCATTCGTACTCGAATATGTGAAAGTTGTAGGTCAATATGTGTTGAAAAGAAATCGAGAAAAAATAACCGCCCAAAAAACAAAATATAGGTATAATTATAATAATTATGGGGATACATTTAGAGTATACTTTATATAAGTGAAAAAACCCTAAACTGGTCCCTAATCATCAAGACAACCTAAAGAGACAAAGAAAATAGTTTGAAATCTGTGAAAAAATCAGCCCCAAAAAATTCAAAGTCCCAAGTTCTGCGAGTTGTGACTGATTAATTTGTTTACCAATTTCATTTTATCTTCATATAGTTAGGGACTGGTATGCACTCTCCAGGATGTGAAGGTCACAACAAAATCAGATATAATAAACAAAGAAGAAATAAAATAAAAATATAAAAAAAAAAATCCCATAAAAAAAAATTTGGATATTGATGAAAGTAACAGATATTAATATCGGGCAATGTATTTATATGATAAATAACAAAATAGAGCATAATAACATACTCATTATTATTTGTTATTATGTATTACTCAGCAATGGTATAAAGGCACCAGCTGCATATCCACTTTGTGGACACTTCTTACTACTATTCTTCTTATTTGTGCGTTGGACAGGTGCTTGCATCTCTTTATTACTGCATTATCCATTAGTTCCAGTTAATAGGCGCTGTTCTCCTTATCAACAAAAGTTCTTTTTAAAAAATTTGTCTAAAATTAATTTCTGAAAATATTTTGATGAAAGTTTCGCGATGCTGAACCAATAAGCTGATTTGTTAAAATTTTTTAAGTAATTTTCACATAATTTAAATATTTTTTGCTTCCCTGCCCCTTTTGCAGAGCAGTTTAAGGGTTAAAACCAGCTGCTTCAGGTAGATGGGACTTGACAGCCTGGGAAGGCAGCTCATCGAGGGGAGTAAAACCCTGATTTCAAACCTCAGCTGCCTTGTGGCCATAACCACTTTTGGGAAAGGCTGTAGGAGTCAACCTGGAGGAAAAATCCGGAGTTGGAGCCGCTAAGGAAGTTTGTTGTTGACGTCAACCTCTCACTGGCAGCTCCTGCGATGGTACTGGAACCAAGTGTATTGATGCTTGCCTTTCCATTGGAAAATTTCAGCTATGTGGAAAAGGGGAACCTGCTGTATGGGGATAACAGCTTTTCCTCCATATTGACCTACCCAGGCTTTGCGCCCTGGAAGGATTGACAACCAGAGCGCAACTCCATAGTCTACCAAGACTGAAGGATTCCTACTACTACTCTGGTGAGAATTAGGTATGTGCGAAGTATGGTGGGAGGAGCAATCATGCTAAGTGAAGTAGCATTTTCAGTTGACTGGTGTACAGTAATTACCTAAGTGTAGTTACAGGATGAGAGCTACGCTCGTGGTGTCCCGTCTTCCTAGCACTCTTTGTCATATAACTCTTTGAAAGTACTGTATACTGATGGTTTTGGCCACTACCACCTGCTCACCTAACTTGTTCCAACCATCTACCACTCTGTGAAAGTGAATTTTCTTATATTTCCTCGGCAACATTGTTTAGTTAGTTTAAATTTATGACCTCTTGTTCTTTAAGTTCCAGATCTCAGGAAATCTTTCCAATCAATTTTATCGATTCCTGTTACTATCTTGTCCGTAGTGATCATATTGCCTCTTTCTTTTATCTTCTAGTTTTGGCATATTTAATACCTCTAACCTCTCCTCGTAGCTCTTGCCCTTCAGTTCTGTTCTGATGTTCTGACAAACACCCAAGGCCGCCTTCTCGAACCGTTCGTCCTCTCTCTTTCCCTGTATCTCCTGAATTTTGGTGAGGTCACTCATGTGGACTCTCGAGATCGCACCCTTTCCTGTCATGAACTTTCTCTCTGCTTGTCGTCTCTTTAATTAGATCTCACGTGATGGGGTTATTGATGACCTCTATAACAGTGACCATTTCCCCATCCTCGTTTTCTTTTTCTCTTTTCACCCTCCCCTCTCCTTCCCTAGTTGGCAGTTTGCCAAGGCTGACTGGAACCTATTCACCCTCTGTGCTACTCGCTCTGACCTCTCCACGCTGCCTCTTCCTCGCGCCCTCCTCATTTTTCACGACACCGTCTTTGACACTGCCCTCTGCTCTATTCCTCGCTCTACCTCCCGGGGCTTTCAAAAGTGCGTTCCCTGGTGGAATGCGGATTGTGCTCGGGCTGTCTTCTTTAAGCGTGCAGCCTGGAAGAAACACTGACGCTGGCAGACAGCTGATTCTTTTATTTTGTTTAGACGAAAGGCAAGTGTAGTGGCCTGTCAGACCATCTGTACAGCTAAACGTGAGAGTTGGAAATCTTGTGTTGTCACCATTATGTCTGATACTCCTCTGCCGCATATCTGGAAGAAGATCCGCAAGATTGCAGATAAATTCGTTCTACATGTCTCGCCGGTTCTTCACCTCTGTGGTACTCCTGTGGTGGAGCCAGTGAAGGTCGCGACCGAACCCGAACGGTTCCTACTTTTCGACTGTTGGCTCCGGTTCTCATTTTCCTCAATCCTTCCTTCGTAAGCTTGTTCTTGAATCTCATCCCTTACATTTCTGCACTCCTCTCCACCTTCCCTATAACGATCTCTTCTCTCTCTGAACTTCAGTCTGCTCTGACTCAGTGCGGTTCTACTGCAGCGGGGTCTGATAGCATTCATTTTGAGAAGCTTCGCCATCTCCCTCCATGCGCGCCTCAATATTTACTGAGTCTGTATAACCAGGTCTGGGAGTCGTCGTCGTCAGTCCCTTAGGACTGTACACCCTATTCGGAAACTGGGGTCTCTCGGGACATCCCCTAATGACTTCCTCCTTATTGCCCTCATGAGTTGTGTCTGCAAACTCTTTGAGTGTATGGTCAATGTTCATCTGATGTAGTTCTTGGAACACTATCACCACGTCTTCCCTTCTCAATTTGGTTTTCGCAAGTGCCGCAGCACAAATGATGTCCTGGTGAACTTGGAGGTCTATATTCATAGTGCTTTTGCTGCAAAGACCTCCGTTGTTGCTGTCCATTGTGACCTAGAAAAGGCATACGACACCACTTGGAGATACCATATTCTGTCCCTACTTTGTTCTTTTGGCCTTCGTGGTAATCTCCCTCTCTTCCTCCAAAGCTTCCTCTCTTGTTGTTCCTTTAGAGTGAGGCTTGGTGCCACTCTCTCTGCCTCTTTTTGGCAAAACGAAGGTCTACCCCAAGGTATTGTTCTGAGCACTACTCTTTTTCTGGTTGCCCTCAATGGTCTTCTTTCTGGGGGGAGCCCTGTCGGCTCCCCGGAGCTTTACCAGGCTGATATGCTAATGTCAGACTTTGGCATCAGTCATGTGTATGGAGTTCTAAGGCCTACCGGGAACCACGGCCAGAACCTGGCCCCCTCAGAGAGGCAAGGGGAGCAATGGCCTATAGAAACCCCCGTGTGGTTGGAAGCATTCTATGTCTGCCATCGACCAGGTCAAGCATCCAGAAAGGTAAGCATTCCAAAACAAACCTGTGTTCTGATTAAAATTGCTACCTAAAGCCGAACTAGTGGATAGAACTCGTCAACAGAAAACAAGCAAACTAGTAACAAGCAAACCGCGCCACTATCTGCGCAGCTCCCCCCTCCTCAGGAGGGGGAAGGTGGAGCCCCAGACCTCCCACACTGGCTATCCACCCATCAGTTCTTCGGCTGATGCTGTAGGCACCGGTTATGTGCTCCGGTTCCAGTGGTTGTTTCAGCACTGTACCTAGAGTGTGGTGTCTGTTTTCTAGGTGGTGCGTGAGCCGGGAGTGATTCACCAGTACTCGGGCTGCATGCGCCTAGGGTTCCCTTCCCTGGGTGCCCTGTAAGTACTGCGCTTGGGGCTTGGGGCCACCTTCCACAAGTTCCTTGGGTCCTGCCCCTGCTAGGCCGTTTACTGCTTGGTTTTCGGCCGCTCTTTGTGTGCTCGGGTGTTCTGTCTCCCTTGTTCGCCTTAGAGTAAGGGGCAGTTTTGCACTGGTGGGGCGCAGAGTACTGTGCAGCTTGTCTTTACCAATCATGGCGGCTGGCTCTGTTCCACTTGGGTACGCTGTCCTCTTGCGGGGTTTTCTTTTTCTGGGGGGAGCCCCTGCAGGTTCCCGGAGCTATCCATGGCTGATATGGATATCTTAACTATTTTGCATCAGTCGATGTGGGTGGAGTTCTAGGCCTACCGGGGACCACGAGCCAGAACCTGGCCCCCTCAGAGAGGCACGGGGAGCAATGGCCATAGAATGCAGATGTGATTTGGAGCATTCTATATCTACTATCGACCGCGGCAGGCACCCAGAAGGGTAAGCACCCCAAAACAAACCCCTATTCTGGTTAACAACAAAAATTGACAAACGAGTGGACAGAACTCCCCAAAAGAAAAACGAGCAAACCAGCATGACGTCACGCGAGCCGCGCCGCATGTCTGCGCAGCTCCCCCCTCCCCAGGAGGGGGAAGGGGGAGCCCTAGACCCCCGAGCCGGCGATCCCCACCTCAGTTCCTCAGCTGATGATATCGTGCATGGTCGTGTGGCTCCAGCTCCAGTCTTGTCTCAGTGCTGTGACTTGTTTTCAGTGCTGCTCTTACGGTGGTCGTGCGAGCTGGGAGTAGTATTCTCAGGTACTCAGGCTGCTTGTGCTTAGGGTCACCTTCCCTGAGTGCCCTGTAAGTACCGCCCTTGGGGCTTAGGGTTGCCTTCCACAAGTCACCTTGGGTCTACCTCTGTTGGCTTTTCGCTGCTTGGCATTTGGCCGCCCTGAGTGTTTGGGGGTTTTCCTCCCTTGTTTACCTTGGAGTAAGTGGTAGTCATTGCACTGGTGGGGCGCAGGGTACTGCGTAGCTAGTTTTCACCTATAACAGCGGCCGGCTCTGTTCTCTCTGGGTACGTTGTCCACTTGGGTGGTTTTTCTTTTCTTTTTGTTTTTAGCCTGGTGGGGGGGGGGTCTGCCTTGTTTTTCCCCTCCACTTATATTAGGGTTTTTTGTGTGGTGGCACCCCTTGCTTCGCCCTCGCGAGTGGACACGTCCCGTGGGTTCAGCTTATAGCAGATTGCTTGGTAGTTGGGACGCCGGTTAGCAGTGCCCTGCCTGGGATATCCCTTAGCAGACCCAGTCTAGGCGCCCTGGGAAACCCCGCGGGGGCTCTTGGGTCCGATGGAGGAGACCCTTGCGTCCCCTCTCGCTGTGTGAGAGTTTGAGGGTTGCTCTGTCCCCTTGTCTCAGGGTGACTCTCATTGTTTTTGCCTCCGTCATGCTGCCTGTTGGGTCGATGACACATTTGACCCTGTTTCCTGCGAGCTGTGTTGCTTGTTTGTGACTCAATTCACCCAGTCTGCTGATGAGTTACTTCGGGTGCAGGCAGCTCGTGCGTTGCATGGTAGGTTTAGGTTATTGCAACGTGCGCGGGTTCTTGCTTCCCCGGACGCCCCGCGGCTGCCCCGCTTTGTGTATAGGGACCCAGACTTGGGGGTGTTGGTCACTTCGGCCTTGGTTCCGTCCGCGCCCCCTTGTTCTTCCCCTTCGGTGGTTCATTCTGTCCCCCCCTCCTCCTGCTTCCGGCCCCTAAGGGTCTGAGGGCTTCGGGGTCGGGGTGGGGTTTAGCGGGTTCTGAGACTCTGGCAGTTTCGGGGGTTGCCCCGTCCGGGGGGGGCTACGGAGGCATTCGAGTCTGTTCCTCCTGGTGCTGCTCCGGGGTCTGACCAGTGGGCCCCTTCTCTTCCGGAGCTTTCGGCTGCCCCGGCTTTTTCTTGTGAGGCCAGGGCTTTGGAGGATGGCTCGGCCCCGGGACCTGGTGTGGAGGCTCCTGGGGCTGGGGAGGAGCTGACTTGGGGGCCTTGGGCTCCATTGGACCCCGCCTGGATTTTCTGTCCTGAGCGGGGCTTACTGTTGCAAGGAGTGGGGTTTTCCTTTCCCCCCTCTGCGTAAGATTTGGACTTGGGTTCTGCTCTTCCCCGGGTTCGGTTCCATGTCCCTGTGGGTTCTTCGGTTCCATCTTTCCAGAGGTTTTCGGCTTCCCGCATCTCTCCGTCTGAGGTGCGGTCGGCCTTGGCGGCTTCCCTCCTGCGTGACCCGGAGTACGCCTCCATAATGGATCCTTCTTCCTTCAGGTTTGGATCTTCATGTCCTTACTGGGTTCGTTATGAGGTTCCGGGGTCGTCCTGGCTTGCAGACTGCCCCTTGTTTTCGCTGGATGCTTGGGACTCGTTCTGTCGAACCCGCACGTTTCAGTGGTGTGAGACGTTGACGGTGGTCCAGGTTTACCTGGGGGGCGATTTTGA